CCTTTATGATTCCCCCAAACCTGTTCTCTAAGAATTTTTCCTTGAACAATTGGGCTGCACTACTGCTGCTACTGTCCTGGTATGGTGCTGTGAGTTAATGCTCTGGACTGCAAAGTCAGTTTGAACTGCCCACCAGCTGCTCCTAGAGGGTAGCTGTGGGTCAGAACCGACTCGGCGGAACTTAACTGCTTTTACTATGTATTCTTATAATACTCTGAATCTATACTGTGCTATATTCAAATGACCTTTTTTATGTTTGATTCCTATATTAGCAAGTAGGCAGAGAGATAGTTTAAATCTTTACATCCCACTTGCCTAACGAAGCTCCTGGTATAGAACACACACTGCCATTGGATCAGTCCTAACTCCCAGTTACCCAGGACAGAGTTTCCAAGATTACATAAACCTTTTACGGGAAAATGTAGCCTCATCTTTCTCCCAAGTGTCAGGTCATCTGCTGGGAATGACTTGCAGACCTTGCAGTTAACGACCAGTGCTTAACCTTAAAGTTTATTATGTAGAATTCTCAATTACCCTTCTAAACCAAACCACATTAAATTTTGTCTTAAGAAAATACTTCATTTGATAGATACCATGCAGATCATGCCAATTACAATTTTCAAAGTTCTAGGATATTTATTACACTTACTTAGCTAAAAGGAGTTCTGGTGTGGCGCTATGTGGGCTGATGTGCTGGACTGCAAAGTCGGTTTGAACCACAGGGTCGGTAGTTCAAGCTCACCAGCTGCTCTTCAGAAACCCTATACAAGGTTACTGTGGGTCGGAACTAACTCGACAACACTTAACAACAACAGCTAAATCTTGGTATTCTTTATTATAGGAATTTTACGTGTGACATAATGAATGTATCTCCCCTAAGTGTAAACTACTCATGTGAATAGGATTAGTCCCAAAAGATACTATGTGGTATGCTGGTCTTTCAAAGATGGAAGAAAAAAAAACAAAGCATGACTGTGGCATTCATTTTTACTGAGATTTATGAATACAGTATCTTTCAAGGATCACTGTATATTTAAGATTTGTTAATTGTGGTAAAATTTACCATTATACATAGGAAGTTTGAAAAGCTAGGTTTTAAAAATAGCAGTGATCATGACCAAATTTCAGTAGTGGCTTTAACTTTTAAATTTTTTCATTCATTTGTCTTTTGTTGATAAGTGTCTTCAAGTCGGTTCCAAGTCATAAGTGACCCTGTATAGGGCTTTCACGGAGAGGCTGGTACGTTTGAACTACCGATCTTGTGGCTCAAAACAACTTTGCAGTTCAGTGCTTTAGACCACAGTGCCACACCAGGACTCTGTTGTATGATTTTAAAAGTTGAAATGTCTCAAGATAAGCATACATTTTTATCATTAATTATTTTAAATTAAGATTTATGCGTTTGAACTGTTCTGAAATTTCTAATTTGGACTGATGTGAATGTCAAAAAGTTGTTGGGCGTGATAAATTGAAAAGTTACCAAGAAAAAGTGTACTTGGGAATATTTAAATATCTTTTCTTCCTTTTTTTTTTTTTTTAATTCGAGTAGTTTCCAGACAAGATCATTCATCATTTTTACATTCAATAAATCATATAGTTTGTTTCATTTCAGTGATTGCAATCTCCTTCATGCAATAAGTTATCCTGCTTCCTCATTGTGAGTCCTATTTCCATTCCACCCACTTTCCAATCCCTGCTCAACTTGGTCCTAAAGAAAACGTTGCCCTTTTGATCTTGAGTGATTGACTGTTCCATGGTGAGCTACCTTACTAGTGGTGGTACCCTCCCCCTGTATGCTACCTACTATTTGGCTGACAATTGGGTCACGAGACTGAGTTCTTTTTAATTTTGTTACATGGTAAAATGCTCTACATTAAAATTTTAAATAGAAACATTTTTATAAAACTAATTTGACAGTGGTAACTATATGCCAATTGTTTGAAGTGCTGTCGTGTTGGTTCCAACCCATAGCGACCCTGTTCGGGGTTTCCGAGGCTGTAAACCTTTACGGGAGCAGAAAGCCTCATCTTTCTCCCGCGGAGCCGCTGGTAGTATCAAACTGCTAACCTTGATGTTAGCAGCCCAACTCGTAACCACTACGCTACCAGAGCTCCTTATATGCCAGTGAGTTTTTCTTAATCCCGAAAAGGGTGGGTTTTAAACTAAAAAACGACTAGGGTGTTACTTTAGGACTAAGAATAACTACTGGGATACGCCTTGTGTCTTTTACATGTATGTATCAGATAGTTAGTTCCCCAAACGAGAAAAAGGAATTAGCTGCCTCATTTAGATGGATTTGTGGCATTACAATTATTTATAAGATTATGTAGAAAGTGGAGTTCAGTACAGCGTGAGCCTAAAGCATGTCATAACCTTAGAGTGGTGGTAATCAAATCCGATCTGTGTCATTGTCTCTTAAATAGTTTTTCATTGTTTTCATCTTAAAATGTGTCTTCCCTATCGCTCTCTCATGTTTTTTTCATTTTATCATTTAGGTACCATTGCCAGTTTTATTATAAAAGTAATTGAAATGGAGTAGGCTGCATAAAGCTGTATGATGAAAGGAAATCCACGAATGTTAGGGAAGTTGAAAATGCTTTTAAAGATTCCATTAATTTATAAGGGGTTCTGACTGTGAACTGGAGCGAGGTGGCTCCAAATGATAAGCACTAGACTGCAAATTAAAAGATCTGCGGTTCAAGCCTGCCAGCCGCTCCACAGAAAAAGATGAGGCTTTCTGCATCTGCGAAAATTTTAAAAAGACTTCAGAAACCCTATACAGTGCTGTTGCTATGAGTCTGAACTGACTCTTCAGCACTTAACAATAGCAAGAGATTCTTAAACTAGTCACGTATTAATGAGCTAAAGATTAATTCCTTTATATCAGTGGAAATTTCTCTTTATGTTAAGGTTAGGATTAACGTATATGCAGATATACCTTTAGTACAGATAGGCACAGTACTGCTAACCACAAAGTTGATGGTTCCAATTCACCAGTAGCTACTCTGAAACCTTTTTATTAGGGCTGCTATGAGGCAGAACTGACTCAAGTGGCACTAAAATAGGCATATTAAGGTTGTCAGTGACAGACCTTGATTGTATTATGGGTAAATTGCTTACCACTTTTCCTTTTTGGAGGGGGAAAAAAGCATTTCAGTTTGTAATTTATCAGTAATGCTATCAGATAGTGGGGGATATCTGAGTGCAGTTTGGGGACTTTTTTCATTATTAGTATTCAAAGCAGTAATGCTAGTTTTAATCCTACAACTGCTTGTGACCAAGCTTTTATTTGAGGTATATTTACGTCTTTTAAGATATTAGGTCATGCTTTTTTTAATTAAAGATATATGATATTATAAAACAAAAGTTAAATGTAACTTGAAGAAAATCCTTAGAATTATGATCGAAATACTCTGATCTGAGTAAAGCATTAGAGAAATCAGATAAATGTTACACTTTGTATTTTTCATGATTATGTAACAAATATATTTATTATGAGTATTCAACAGAGGTTATTGCAATTAGTAAAACCCAAACTTGTATTGTTCTTGAGGGGCTGTATTTTATACCCTTAACTTATAGGGGTTTTGTTCATAAGACTCCCCCTGGTGTCTAGATTTGGAAGCATTATTAGTTTAGCAGTTTTTCTTTATAGGTACTACTGTGGTGCTCTAAGGAGCTCTGGTAGCATAGTGGTTACGAATCGGGCTGCTAACCTCAGGGTCAGCAGTTTGAAACTATCAGCTGTTCCGTGGGAGAAAGATGAGGCTTTCTGCTCTCATAAAGATGCACAGCCTCGGAAGCCCTGTACAGGGTCACTATGAGTTGGAACTAACTCCATGGCACATAACAACAACTGTGGTGCGCTATAGGATAAGCATTGGACTGCTAATTACTTACTAGACTGGAGGTTCAAACAGTTCTCTGAAACCCTATTTCTCTATGAGTTGGAAGTGACTCAAATGACAATTCAGTTCCATTTAAAAATACATTTAGGATCATTTTTCCCCCCGTTTAAAGTTTTATTATGCTTTTATTGGTATCTCATTTGCTTTTTCAGAGGCATGACAAAAAATGATTTATGTGTAGTTTTTTGTTTTTTTTTTACAACTTTTAAAGTACTACATGGTTAAAAACCTGCCCTACTTTTACTTTCATATTGCCACTTTTCATGTTATGGATTATTATTATGGTTAAAAATTATTCTGAATGGAAATCACAGTTAGTTGTAAGTGATGTCAAAAATCTTGCTTTGATGACCAAAGACATGTAAGCCACAGTAACCAAACAGAAAACTCCTTGAAGATGTTACATTTAGCTTTATATGGCTAGCTTTTGATTAACCTAATTTACTTAACAGAAACAAGAAGAATATCTCCTCCAAATTAGTAAACTGCAATACCATACAAATTATTTGACTTATTTTTCCACAAGTCAAAATAGTATAATCTTGCTTGGAGCATGGGGAAAAATGAAGGCTAGGTATTCATTTAAACCTTTTTTACATGATAAGTATATAAATTGAAACTTGCATGTGAATATATCTTATTTGAAAACAAAGTATATTCAAATATTGTTTACTTACTAATAAGGTATTTAAATTTAATGGATTTTATATAAAATTGAACCAGAACTCAAGTAATGCTGAATAGATATGAAAGTAATGTCTACTTGCATCTAAGGTTTAGAAGAAACTCAGTGAAAACACAAGCACAAACAAACGCATTTGTATTTTCATGATGGGGGTCTTCCATTGTAGAAAAATAAGTAGTAAATAAACTTCTGTTACTGGGGAGAAAGTTATTTGTTACCTTTATCTAAGATTCTTTTCCATTGATTATCATTGCCTATTGTGGAAGTAATACTCCTATTTCTGATTATTGACAAAATGATATGTGATCATTCTCAATATTAATGCTTCTGTTAATAAAATATCTTTTTGTCATGTTTGCCTCAAACTGCCATATATAAATACATTTTCATATTTTTCTGTATTTCAGGGTGTTGATGATGCCTTCTATACATTAGTTCGAGAAATTCGAAAACATAAAGAAAAGATGAGCAAAGATGGTAAAAAGAAGAAAAAGAAGTCAAAGACAAAGTGTATAATTATGTAAATACAATTTGTACTTTTTTCTTAAGGCATACTTAAGTAAAAGTGGTAATTTTTGTACATTACACTAAATTATTAGCATTGTTTTAGCATTACCTAATTTTCTTTCTGCTCCATGCAAACTGTTAGTTTTCATCTTGAATGCTTTTTTTTAAACAATGACAGTGGAAACTTTTTTTCCTTCTAAGTGCCAGTATTCCTGAGTTTTGGTTTTTGAACTAGCAATGCCTGTGAAAAGAAACTGAATACCTGAGCTTTCTGTCTTGGGATTTTTGGTGCATGCAGTTGATCACTTCCTGTTTTTCTTACCAATTGTGAACTTCAGTGTGCAATGAATTAATGAAGCTTTTAAATCATCCCTACTTGCATTTTATCTAGTTACATAGATCAATTACTAACGTACAACTTAAATTGAGATGTCATGATTGGTTTGACTGAAACATTGACGAAGCACAAACTTTATGGGCTTCTTGCAGATTTCAATCAGGCATCATGTCCTATAGTTTCAGATTAACCTTAATGAATGTAAAGTTACACTCCCCTTTCCACTGCTATTTGTCATGGTCATATCCCCCAAATATTATATTTTTTCTACAAAAAGGAAAAAAAAAATGGTTAAAAAAAAGGCAATGGAAAATATTAACAGGTCATTTACTTTCCACATTAGATAAATTCTTATAAGACTCCTTTTCCTGTTAAGGCAGACCCAGTATGTAAGGGGGAATATAGCAACCATTTGGGGGCTACTAAAGTTTTGTAATAATTTTTAAAAATTAACATATATTTAAAAATACTCATAGGAATTAAATATAGTCTTCCTGTGTCAGGTTGCTCTTTCTTAGCAGCATAACATTAAATCATTCTTGATCTTCAGTCTTTGAAAATAGTTTTTAACTGGTAGTGCTATTAAAGATCATTTGGGTCAGTTAGCTTAGTAGGTGTTTAAGAGGTAAAGATTGCAAGTTCAGGCCTTGTGTTGACCTGTATGCTTCCTCGGGGCCTTCCCAGCCTCAGATTGCATGCATGCGGTCATCCAGTGTTGTTATGTATGGGTTCCTGGGTTGGTTGAAAATGAGGACTGGGTGAGAATTTGGATAGCTCAGCAAGATGAATTCTCACTATGTGGTGGTCCTACTGATTGATATCGCACTGTTCAACAACAGAAAATTTTTTAAAAAATTAAAAGGTTAACTTAAAAAAAGTTGACATTGGGGGAAGGCCAAGACTTTATTAGTATATAAATTTTTAATGTAACAAAAGAATTTAAAAATCCCTAGTTCTTTTAACACTGGCTAAGGGTCGCTATGAGTCGGAATTGACTCGATGGCACATAACAACAACAAAGGTAACATTTCATAACCACTTTTTAAGTTGGGTCCATATTTTAAAATAGGTTTGAAAAATTAACATTAAATGACTTTTCCTTATGTTTAAAGCGTTAATTGAAAATATTTGACGTGAGATGGTATGGTAAGGTAAAAATATCACTGGACTAGAAGAGACTATGGTTCTAGTTATGTGTCTTTTAAAACTCTGATTTTGGGTAAATCACTTTCATTTCTTCGTGTTACAAGAAGTCATCTCAAAGGCACTATTTAGCTTTACAACTTTGTGATTTACATTCATTTAACTTAAGTACTCCTATGTCAAGCTTGGCACAGCCTGTAACTTTTACCTGTAATATCATCAGTGCTAGTCTTTAGGCAAAATTGTACAAGAGGTTAAGTTTATTTTTGAATTATCTACTCTCCATCTTCAGGAGTCATATTAGTATCATTTTATCTGCATAAGCTTCCAGAAGTTCTAATGACTTGATTCCATCCCTACCCCCTACCCCCTTTGCCAATTCTGATTCCCTTATCTCTCCTCATTTCAAAATGTATTGCTATGGATAGCCCCATGAAGTCACATCAAATTGCCCTACATCCTTTTACTTGGCACTCAAGATAATATGAAAGATACCATAATGGGATTTTGACCTAATAGCTAATTTTCAGGTGGTAGCTGCAGTAGTTTAATCATCATCTCTTTGCTGCCTGATCTATTAGTGACTTAGGTGGGAATTTTTAAACCTGTTAGAACCCTATACAATGGAAGGAGAATTTTATGAAGGTAAAGTTGAATAATTCCTTAAATAATCTACAACAACAACATTAGCCCTTGTAGTAGAGGTATATTCCATTGTTTTAATAATTGAAATGTTACATAATTGAAATTCAATCTTAAACCTCTTTATTTTTTGCAGAATTCATGTATGTATTCATCAAATACTTATTTTGCATCTACTAGATGATAAGCACTACACAAAGTACTGAGGCTATTGCGGTATCCCCAAACAAGGGACATCCTCCCTGTTCTTAAGTAGTGCCTAGATTCTAGTGGTCTGTATCTTAGTGAGGTATCTGACACATAACCCAGAGTAATACAGTGCATACTTGAGTTTTATAAAGCAGCTGTTTCTGTTTGTCTCTAAACTTTCTTCTAATTCTACAATAATTGTTTTTCTATAATTCAAGTGTAACATTTAATCAAACTGTATATAAATCACTTTAAATCATTGTTTTAAAGGAGTAGATTTGTTTTTTTTTTTTTTAATTGACATAACTGTGATTTTGTAATGACAATTAGTCATACATTTTAAGTTGTACATTGAGTAATATTTTAAGTTATACATTGGGTAATATTAAAATTCCAAGTGTGTAATATTCCAGTTGATTTCTTTGTGTAAATAATTAAAGTAGACTTAAAATATTATTGAGTTCGAAAATAATTTTGTTTTTCTGGGAGCAAATTAACAGGTGCCTGAACTAATTCACAGAAAAGGAAATTTATATTCTGTGTAAAAATCAATGATTCCTGAAATGCTATGCTAAAATACAGATTTATGGCACATTGTTTAGGTAGAGTGTTAAGACTTATGCAGTACCTCCTCTTGTTCTAGACAAGAGGAAAGAAAGGCCATAATTCAAAGAGTTGCAATGCATAACTAAGGGGATTTTTAAGACTCTTGTATTTGTAGGTAGTTGGGCAAATTTTCTTTTTTTAAAGCAGTGATAATTATTCTTTATTATGTGGATTTTAAATGGGTTCACAATTTTTTTTGTAGAGATTTTAAAAGGAGAGATTGTCTTAGAAATAAGATGTTACTTGTTACAGCCTTAAACATAAAAATCCTTTCGAAGTTAACAAAAAGAAAAAAATTGCTTAAATACATAGTCTTAGACATTAACATGTTTGTGGAAGAACGTAGTACAAGTATGTAGTATGATTTGAGTGAATATTCCCAATTACGAATGCTAGGTTCTATTTAACTGAGTCACACTGCATAGGAATTTAGAACCTAACTTGTATAAGTTATCAAAACTTTTGCCACCATTGCACAATTTTGTCCTAATATCTAGAGAAACTTGGTGAGTCATGCTAAGTTACAGTTTGCCCAAGTTCATCTCGTTTTTGTATTCCAGTGACTTTTGATTTCCTCTAACCTTTTTTTTTCTCCCAAATAATATATATGCTTTTTCTTTGGCAATAAAAACTATGTGAAGTCATTTCATTTGTCAAAAAGTAATTATTTCTTGATAACTATGTACTAATCATTTTTAAAAAGCAGTTAAGAGGACTTTATGCTTAATAACTTATGAGTTAATATTGGGGTATAGCTTGAATTCTGTCTTGAGAAACTGAATAGCATACAATTAGCTGTAAATTCAGGCAGAATATGAAAATTATTCCTTTCTAAATCCGTAATAGTCACATCAGTTTTTGAAAGAATGTTTATAACTCATTTAAGATTTATGTTTTAACCTAAAAGTGCCTATTTGGCAAATTAGATGAGTTCAGAAAAAATAAGATTATCTGCAGAAATGTCCAATACAGAGAGGGTTTCCCCCATAGAACTCAATGGGTAACATCTTATCCCAAAGTTTCCAGTTCCACTGTCTTGCGTTTTCATGTTGAAAATACTTTTGCTTTTTTTTCCTTTTGAGTGCCAATTTCCTACTAGTACTATTTCTTAATGTAACATGTTTACCTGGAATGTATTTTAACTATTTTTGTATAGTGTAAACTGAAACATGCACATTTTGTACATTGTGCTTTTGTTTTTCTCCTGTGGGACATATGCAGTGTGATCCAGTTGTTCTCCATCATTTGGTTGCGCTGACCTAAGAATGTTGGTCATATCAAACATTAAATTAAAACATGACCACTCTTTTCATTAAAATTAACTTTTAAATGTTTATAGGGGTATGTGCTGTGGAGTGATATGAAATTTGTAATATTTTTGTCATGAACTGTACTGCTCCTAATTATTGTAATGTAATAAAAACTAGTTATGGTGACCATGAGAGTGTGTGTTTCTTGATGGAAATTTGAAATTTTTGCCTTGGAATTGATATGAAATACTTTACAAATTCCAAATATCATAGTATGTTAGTGAATTTTTAACAGATGCTAAATGAGAAAAATGCTGTATTTAGGAAAGGAGCTGCTATGAGCATTACTATGTACAGGTTCTAAGTGTGTTTGCTTACACTTGGTCGTGCCATGTTTTGGATCCCTGGCAATGCGAATTTAGAAATAGATGGAAAAGAAGTCTACTTTCAGGACAAAAGTATAGAATTCTTTATTACTTTTTATCAAAGAAGTTAGTTAATGCACAACAGGTGATTTGTTAAGGCCCAAAGGGAGCCAACAGTGAAATAAATAATGGAAATAACTGGATGGGTCTTGTATCCAATGCCAGTCACTGTCAGCTTATTTCTAGGCAGAAGTCAGTCTTACCCAATATACACATACCTATTACTGTGTTATACACATAATTATTTCTGTAATTACAGTTAAATCATTACCAGGTGCTATTTGTTTTTTAGTGATGTGCCACACTGGGTCAAAAATACGTTACTCCTTCAAAAGTTAAAGGGAATAAATGTGCAGTAAATTCTGCTTCATTTAAGTACATTAAATGGCATTGTAAAGTGGAGAATTAGGCTCAAAATGTCTAATTCTTTTATATAGGTTTGAAATAAATTTTTAATACTACTTGATGCTCATTAACGTTATAGCTGGCAATATTTATAGCTAACTTACTATTTTAATTAAAAATTATGGCTAAAAGATGGATTAACCTCAGTATGAATAAAAGTTGAAATCTGTTTTTAGTTCAGTAAGGCTGCTCAGGTTTTTTTGTTTTTACATGGTATGTATGGCTCATTCACTTTGCGCTGGAATTTATTTTACAATATTTGGTAGACATAAATAGCTGACACTGATTTTTCAGCCACAATTAATAGTAATGATCAGTTACGTTTTCTTCACATCTGAGTAATAGCGTTGTTTCATAGCTCTGTATTTCCTAAGGAAGTATAATGCTTCTAGCTCTTTCATTACAAATTCACCCCGTTCAATAAGTTCTTTGATCTTCTCTGGGTCCTTCACATCTTTGTTTTTAAGGAAAACATTCTTCAGACGCCTTTTAAAATAGTCTGCTCCTTTTGGATAGTCTCTCCCAAGATACAGCAGCTTAAAAAGAAAGATTATAGATTTCTAAACAATCCAAGTAATATAGTAACATTTGTAAAATTTGCAGCATAATTACTTACATTTTTATAAAGATTCAGTACTTCTCCTCTTAAAGAATTGGCCATTTTCATTTACCATCGAAAGTATGCACTTCTATACAAATCTGAAGAAAAGGGAAAAACACTGCAAATAACTGCACTGTAGCCTTACAGAACCAAAAAAGATTTTGTGTATACATAAGGTAGCGTAGTGGTTACGAATTGGGCTGCTAACTCCAAGGTCGACAGTTTGAAACTACTAGCTTTTCTGTGGGAGAAAGATGAGGCTTTGTTCTCCCGTAAAGATTTACAGCCTCAGCAACTATATGCAGGGTTGCTATGACTCGGAACTGACTTCATGGCACATCACCACCACCACCACCACTAGGACATAAGAGCCCTGGCAGTGCAGTGTGTTACTTGTTGGGTTGCTAACTGAAAGCTCCATGGTTCAAACCCACCATACATTCTGCAGGAGAAAGATGATGGAGTCTGCTTGCTTAAAGTTACTACCTCTTGAGTCTATGGAGCAGCTGTACTCCCTAAGTTGAGACAGAACTATGGCAGTGGATTTGGTTTTGGGGTACTGGGATATAGCAATAAACATGCTAGATAAGATACCTGCTCCCTCTCAGAACATCTGGGGAGACATGCAAACAAGATAATTGTGAAATGTGACCAGTTCTCTAAAGGAAACAGGAATGAGAGAAAATGGATGGTCAGATGTACAGGTGATTTAAGCATTCTAAGGCTCAGTTTCTTTATCACAAGGAAGATTATACTGCCCCTCAAGGTAAGGTCAGATCTATTTGGAGGACATTGACAAGAGCCCTGATCACATTTGGAAGGTGGCTGCCTTAAGAAAGGTTAAAGGAGAAACAGTCAAGCTGCTGTATCTTGGGAGAGACTATCCAAAAGGGGCCGACTCTTTTAAAAGGTGTCTGAAGAACAGTAAGTCTGGTGGTGATCAGGCCAAGTAAAACACTTATAATGGGGTACACAAACAGGTAACATCCAGTGGTGTTCATGCTTTCTTATGTGTAATTGATACGTAGTGGTTACTAATCAAGCTGCGAACCGCAAGGTCAGCAGTTCGAAACTACCAGCTGTTCCGCGGGAGAAATGAGGCTTTCCACTCCCATAAAGATTTACAGCCTTGGAAACCCTGTACAGGGTCGCTGTGAGTCGGAACTGACTACAAGGCACATCACCACCACCACCACTAGGAAGGAGGGACCAGTCGTTGGAGAAGGGTATCATGTTTGGTAAGGTGGAGTGTCAGAGAAAAAGACCCCCAATGAGATGGATTGGCCAAGTGGCAGCATCGATGGACTCAAGCGTGGCAACGGTAGAGAGGTTGGCCCAGGATCGGGCAGTGTTTCGTTTCGCTGTGCGTAAGGTCGCTATAGGTCGGGTACCGACTCGATGGCACCTAACAACAACTAGGAAGAAGACTCCTTAAAGGCACTACGACAGCCAAAACAAAATAATGCCCACTACTTATAGTCGCTGGGCATTAAGTCATAAATTCCTAATATGAGCAATAAGTAGTTCATGCATGACCAAAGTAAATGTTAATGTCATATATGTTGTTAAGTGATGTCAAGGTTCCGACTCATTACAGTCCTGTACTGGGTTTCTGAGGAGCAGCTGGTGGGTTCTGAACCTCTGACTATGTAGTTCAAACTGACCTTATGGCCCTGTGCTTATCCTACAGCACGGTGCCAGGACTCCAACCTGTAATTTCCATTTTCCCAATGACTGACCTTTTAATATCTTTTCTGAAATATTTTGAATTTTGAAATGCTTTCAATTTTGCAGAAAATTTTTAACACTAGTACTAATGACACTATTTCTTCACCCATTTGAGAATGCATTGCCAATATGATAGCTGGTCACCATGAATCGAAAGAAATAGAATAGCAATTTTAAATTTTCTGATGGTTGTTAAAAGTGCCATTGAGTTTATTCCAACCTATAGTGAAGTCTTTGACAACTTCAATCTTTTCTCCATTGATACGGATATTGTTTATTGGTCCAGTGGTGAGGATATTTGTTTTCTTGACATTGAGATGCAATCCATACCGAAGGCTATGGTCTTTGATCTTCATCAGTAAGTATTTTAAGTCCTCTTCACTTTCAGCAAGCAAGGTTATATCATCTGCATATTGCAGGTTGTTAATGACTCTTCCTCCAATCCTGATGCTATGTTTTTCTTCATATAACTCAGCTTCTTGGATGATTTGCTCAGCATACAAGTTGAATAAGTATGGTGAAAGAACACAACCCTGTTGCACACCTTTCTTAATTTGAAACCATTTTACTTAGTAGATTATCATCATTTCTAGTAATGCTCAATATCTGGCTTAGTTTGCTTAAGTTTTGTTTTTGCTTTTTTCGTTTTTCCCATCATTCTTTGAGCACTACACCTTACTTTCTGGCATAAGATCATCTTCTATATTCCCTGGCCCAGCCCTGTTTTCCAGCTTCCAACATTTTATTGTTGCCATCTCCAATCCTAGCACCCCCATTTAGTTGTGATACTTTATGATACTTCACTAAAGATCTAGTAGCGTTTTGGAGGGGACTGAATTTAGGTGGGTGCGTTTGAACTATGTTAGTATGAAATTTCATTTAACTTTTTTTTAAGAGTCATTTCCAGTGCAATTATTTTATTGAAGAATGACTCTTATGAACCATGTGCTTTTAAAAGAATTCTGAATGAAATCTACATAACTGTAGTTTCAGATTCCATATCATAAACTGTAATTCCTGGCAAACAGGGCAGCTTCACTGAATTATTTTTGGGGACCTGAAAGCTTTATAGGGACCCAGGTTGTCTTCTTTACAAATAATGCCTATTACAAGCTTTATGGAGCTGAAAAAGGAGCTCTGGTAGCCTAGTGATTATGAGTCAGGCTGCTAACTTCAAGGTCAACAGTTGGAAACTACCAAGCTGTTTCTCGGGAGAAAGATGCGGCTTTCTGCTCCCATAAAGATTTACAGACTCAGAAACCCTATACAGACAGGGTCGCCATGAGTTGGAACCAACCCCGTGGCACACAACCACCAACCACCACCATGGAGCTGAAAGGCTAGCAGTTCAAACCGACGCAGAGTTTCCTCAGATCTGCTTTGGAAAGATTGCAACCTTGAAAACCCTACACCGCAGTTCTGCTCTGTATCCACAGAGTGTCATAAGTTGCAATCCATGGCAACTAAACAGCACCTAAGAAAGGAGCTGGTATGCCTAAGGTAAACTCGTCCAGTTTTCAAAACACTAATTTATATTAATTAAGGCAGTTTGTCTTTATTATTGTCCAACTGACCTTCAGACTATTTAGAGTTATTGATCTTTAGCTTTTGGGAGAAATAGACTCCTTTGGGTTCACAATTTAAAGAATGCTTTAAGTGCAGCTAAGGACCTGGAATTGCTCTAAGATCCTGCATGAAGTCAGAGAGACTACTGCTGTCGTTAAGAGCCAACCCAGTTAGGACCAGACAGATGCCTCCTATCACTCTGAGAACCTGGTGTACATGTGTATGGGTAGGGTGGCGGGTAATGCCCACTGACAGCTGTTTTTCCACTGACTCTGGGATAAAAAGTTGAGATTTAACTAATTCCAATTCAGGCTAATTAAGAATGATCATTTTACTACAGGTTATGGTGCCCAAGGTGTTGCAGTGGTTAAAGTGCTCTGCTGCTAACCAAAATTTCGGCAGTGCAACCCGCCAGCTACAAAGACATGGCAGTGTGCTCCCCATCAAGATGTACAGCTTTGGAAACCCTATAGGGCAGTTCAATGTATGGTGCCCAAAGCTGTTGAGATGACAGTACAAGCTGCGGGGAACTTGTTATCTAATCGTCTCCACAAGCACTCAAGCACCACCAGTGGACTTGACTCAACCTGGTGAGGCTTGTCATGATAAAACAGGGCACAGGTCCTAGAATCATAAGGAATCAAACTGCTGGGCTTTGGATCAAGAACACCCTCACTTAATTTCTTCTGGTTTTCTTGTTGGCTTAAGGTGCCAATATTACTTCATCATGGGGAGGCGCCAGGGTTCGCTGTTTGGTCGTACCATTAAGTCCATGACCTTGGGTAAAATAGTGAGTCTTGCTGGGCCTCAGCGATTTTCATCTATGTACAATATTTTTACCTAAGAATTGCTTCAAATCATGTCCAAAACTTGTTTAGCAAGGCTTCTGAAGGAAAGGGCCTATGCTTTGCACGTATAGAGAGACTAATGCGAAGGTCATTAATAGGAAAATAAACAAGTTTCTTGAGTCAACTTATTTAGCGTTTTATCTAAATTGTAGGCAGCGGACTGCGTAAAGATAGACAGCCCCCGAAATTCTCCCCGAAATCCTCACAGAAAGATCCGGCCCCACACACGCTAGAAAAATAAAACCGGCTGTTAACGTCAGGAGATGCTCTAACAGCTAGTCCAAAACACACTAACTACATCGCCTCCAGACCCCAGAATGCGAAAAACAGAACAAAACGCCGAGACCGCAGCACTCACACACTTTCCGGCAGTCACCACCACAGCCGTAAAAGCTTCCTACCGCTCCGACTCCCTGGTTTGTCAACGATGGAGCAGGGAGGGGGGGCGGGAAGAGTCACTGGAGGGGGCGGGGCTCCAACAGGAAAATCTCCAACGCGACTGCGCAGAAAAGAGATCAAGAATCCGCGCTCTTTGCTCCGGGAGGGAGGGGAGGGGACAGGACAAGAGGGGAGGGAAAAGGGGGGGGCGGGGCAAGGGCTGTCGTCCTGGCAACCAAATAGTGTTTGTTCACTCTGCTGCGATTGAAGTTTGATTTTTCATGGTGCGGAGGTCTTTGCTTGTGGCATCATGGTGAGCTAGAAAAGTGGGAATGGCTAGTGAAGGGAAGAGCATTGATATTGTTGCACCGAGGTTAAATGAAGGATTAAGAGCCCGCTATATTTTAGAAGGAAAAGAGTCGGAGCCGCTATATTTTAGAAGGGAGAGTCGGATTAAAAACAACTCAGACTCCCGGGAAGGGTCAGCTCTCTCCAGATCTGTGATCCTCAGGCCCTGGTTGGGTCTAAACAGCCCCAAACCACTTT